GCCGTCCCCCCGCCCCCGTCGGCTGCGAGGCGGGGAAGGGCCCTGCAACCCCCTGGGGGCGGGGGGCCGCCGGGGTGCAGGGGGCTCCGCGCCTAAGCAGCCGCGAGGAAGAAGCAGAGACAACTTTGCTGACAGCCCCGAGCGCAGCGCTTGACGGCGGAGGGGCGGCAGCGGGAGGGGGACGGTCGGCGATCAAACGTGGTGGGCGGCCGGGGGGCAGGATCCGCTGGGAAATGCCTCCGCGGATTCGGCCACCGGCAGCCTACCAGATCCCCCAGCTGCTCTTGCTGACGCAGAGGGGGGCTGGGTGCCCCGGCGCTTCCCATTACCCTAATGAAATGGGGACAATCGGAAGAGCGTATTGGCCACGCTTCCCACTTGACCCGCTGAGATTGTTCTGGCTATTATGAATCATGGATTTGCTTTGTTCCTGGAAGGAGAGGAGGAGTGGAGCTGAATTAGAAGGTGGAAGGGTGGGGCGACCTTTCCCCCAGATTTTAAATAATATTTTTAATGTACAAATTCGTCGGTTGCCTTGCCTGTCTCGTCAGAATAAAATCGCACACTCGCGCTCGCCCTCCACCGCAGGAGCGCGCGCACACGCACCCGGTTACAAACAAAGCGAAAACCGAGCTGCGAAACCCAGTTCATAGCTGATGCTTTTCCGCGCACAATTTGCTAATGGAATAGCCATCCGTCCTTATTAAATGAATTAGGGTTAGTGTCCTTATACGGAAATGCAAATATTGATCCAGCCGAGTCTGGCAGGTTTTCTGCAAGCTAAAGAAACAGGTGCTTCGAAAGTCGCGGCAAGAGTTAACCCTTGAGGGGAAAGTAGCTTGATTAGGCGCGGGGAAAATGCGACCAAGGAAGGTGCCCAAAGTGCGCAAGAAGGAAATCTTTAGGGTGGTTTTATGCATGCAGGATATTATTTTTTTCTCGCGCATTTAATTACAATCTCCGTTCAAACGACTCTTTGAAACAATTTCCCACTTTTAAAAAGAAGGGGGGGGGAGGGGAAGAGGCGAAAAAGAAAGAAACCGCTGCAAAGAGAGTTGGCAAAGATGATTTGCCCTGAAGTGATGGAAGGCGAATGTATTCCAACAGTAGAAAGAAGCGAACCACAGACTGGTGGCGCTCCGAAGTCAGTTATAACTTGAAGGACTAGAATAGCCTCTTCAGCAGCCATACTGGGAGTTGTAGCCCATGGCCTCTAGAAGGCCCCAGGTTGCGAAAGGTGGGCCAAGCCACATGGCACACCCCACCCCCAGGCCCAGGCCCCACACCGACTGAACTTCCATCAGTTCCATCAGCCACTGAAGGGACGGCTTTGGAAATGGCTCCGCTGTCTTTGCGAAGGGGCCCAGCCCTGGAAAAAGGCAGCTCTTCTGGAGCGAGGAGCTCGCGGCGTCAGCGTCGAATTGTTCTAGAATTCGACTGCGTGGCAGCGGGCTAGACGTTACGGCTTAGAAACAAATCCTGCACTTTTGCAACACGTCTAACTGTTGCAAGCACAATTCCTCGCCACCTGTTTCGAGGCTGAGAAGACCCTCCTCGTAGGCAACGCACAGCCTGATCTTTCACCTGCTTCCTGGGGAATTGCGCAGCTTTCCACTTCCAGCAGTCCAACTCGTGCTTCCTTCCAGGAAGCTCGCAATTGAACAAGGCACTAAGGCGACAGCCCCTTCTCCCTGCCTGTCCCCTAGCAACTGCTCTTGGAAGGGCCACTGACGCTGCCTCTGACTGAATGACAGGCCTTCATCACGATCGAGGCGCTCTTCTTTCAAGAGCCAGAGAAAGCCAGACTCCCCATCGTTCCCTTTTCTCTGATGGCACGGGCAGAGGTACAGGTCACCTCCAAAGAAATGCGCCGTCCCAGGCGGAATCTCCCTCTTTCAGTTCTCAGGACTTTGAAGTCGAGACAGTCGATCAAGGACAAGCAAAACAGAAGTCCCTTGGGAAGAATCTGTAGGGGCCAGAATTCCTTGGTGGGAGGACCTTAGGATGCCAGCAATGGGCTGGGCAAAGCCCAAAGTGTCTCACATTTGCTGTTCTTTTCTGAGACCCATTTTCCCACCCCCTTCTGACACTTTCTTGTCTATTTTGTACTGTCTCACTATGCCTCCTCGGCAGCAGGCAGGAGTAGATCATTCTTGCTGAAGCTCTCTGAATTGCTTGCTTGCAGAGTCTTAGGCAAGGCTATTGGTTGCACATCCCTGCCCTAGAGACAGACAAGGCTAAGGGCAGTGGGAAGAGCCAGAGACAGCATCTAGGGCAGACTTGGGCATTACAGAAGCATGCGCACAGACACACACACAAATATATTATCTCTTTTCATAATAAAGTTAGAAACAGTTGAAGAATCAAGCTGCATTTGGTTTAGGTGGTCCAGATGCTACAGTTAACACCTAAAATGTGAAACTATACAGACTATTTCTTTTTCTCTGATGATTGGGTCCATTTTTATTATTTGCCTGTACAAGCATTTAGAAGCAGCTGTGGAGAATAGAAGGACAGTGGAGGGAAGAGGAAAATGTTCATGTTAATCTAAGTCAGTGCTTCTCAACCACAGCAGCTTTAAGATGTGTGGACTTCAACTCCCAGAATTCCCCAGCTAGCATGCTGGGGATTTTTGAAGACCTTTAAAATATAAACTTGATGGCTAATAATGCTTCTTGGTTATCATATCCTGGAGACATTCTCAGAAAAATGGTGAGAGAGATGCACCCCAGTGTTTGTTTCACACGGTGCCCATGTGCCCAAAGGACTGTTGAAGTGACAGAGAGCAATTCTGGGATGTCCGTGGGAATGGCAGCAGAGGCAATGGCAGTCTTTTTCCTCTGCTGGAGGATAAAACCATAGGTTCCATATGGCTTGCTTATACCTGCTGCCCTCAGATGATGTGCAGGATACTTCCCATTGCCAACCCTACTTCTTGCCTTTTGCAGTTTGGCTGATTCTCTGTATTGGCACATTTCCTGTCTCAGCAGCCAAGAAACACATAGCAGGAGGGCAGGATAATGGTCTAATTTCAATTAGAAGGTGCAGCAGAGGAGTCTGGAATTCTGCAAATGGTGGCTCCAAGGGCAGACATAAATGTCACAAACTAGCATTTCCCAAAGCACCGACTATGGTCCATTACCATCAACAAAGCAATTAAGTCTATGTGCCTATAGCAATTATATATTCAAGCCCTTTAAGAATTCTTAAATAGAAACCATATGGATTTGGCAGTTTTTAATTTATCGTAAGATCTAGAACTTCATCTCTTGTTATTGCTGTTTGCTTCAATCGTCCTTTGTTATTAATTAATTAGATTTATATGGCCTCATCCTGCTATAGTTCTTTTTTACCCTCATTGTCCTCCAATAGAATTGCCCTCCAGCCCATTTCATGCTTCTGAGGTATTTACTGAATTCTTAAATTAAAATGAATTTTAATTAGTTGATTCATTTTAAATGCATTTTTAAATCTTACTAGCCATACTTTTTTTTGGGGGGGGGGACCTTTATTATTTGCTTCCATTCATTTTAGTAATTTTGAGAGGAATACCTAGAACATTTTCTGGATATCATTATTTCAGATTTTGTAATAACGCTGCAAATTATGAGCTGGAAGAGTATACAGCAGAAAGAAGATAAGATCTTGAATGAAAACAGGACACTATGATGCCAGCAAAACAGTTGCCATTAAAATGCATTAGGCAACCAAATGAAAGGTCTGCTAATCTTTTTTACTCTGAAATCACAATTTTATGATGATCTTGAAGAAAGAAGATTAAATATAGAGGGTACGGTGGTCAAAGAAGTCTACTGTATATTCCTCCACTACTCTAGAATTGATTCAATAAAAGTCATATACACTGGGGCTGTAAGAAATGTTAAGCTTTTTAAAGCAATACTGACAAAATATGAGACAAGGACTGCCACTGTCAATCAAATGTTTATAGTGGTCATAGACCAGCATAGACTGCCAGTCCTTTCCCACCATTGTTCCTTTGCAATTCTTTTTTTCTCATTCTTAGTGAGACCTGCAACAGCCTATTAGAGTCTAGAGTTATCCTAATCAATCAGCCTGCCAGCTATGCCCTTTTACAGGAGGCCCAATTTTATCATCTCTCCACAGTCTGTATTCTGTGCTCACTCAGATGCTGTTTTTTGGATTCTCCTCCCTCCCTTTTCTTTGTGTGACCAACAGACCAAAAAGAGGAAATTTGTGGGCAATTTTCTAAGAGGAAGCCAAATGTAGAGAAAATAGCACCTGTACTGAAGAGTAAAAAAAAAAATCCTATTATTAGATAACAGTAGAAAGGTATGGATGCAATACTTTTCAGTCTTGACTCATTTCATTTTCAGAATAGTCCTCCAGCTATAGGGACTGAACAGGGACATACATGTCATAAAAAGAAATCAAATCTATCCATAAAGAGGCACAGAGAAAATGCAGGGAGGAGGTTTTGTCGGCACTACATCTTCCAGCATATATAAAGCTACCTACATACAACCTATTTTCCCTATTTCACTCCTTCCCTGAATGAATTCATTTAGTGAATGCTGCTTTGGTATAACAGATATGGATTGGGTGTGAAAAAGGTGGAAATATCTTTATATTTTCTTTTCCAAAGCAAGACACCTTAACAGTGATTTCTTTATCCAAGTCATTTCAATGTACTCAATGCTAGAGCTGAGGATGGTGGATTTTCTGTGAAAATTAATCAAGCAAACAGTTACCAGCTAACAGAAAGAATTGGAAGGAATTTAGAACTTGATATTAACTTATAAGCACTGCTGAGATCTCACTAAATCCATAAGCACAAGTTTAAATTCCCACCTAATGACAAAGCTGACTAGATGGTTCTAGGACAAACTTAAACTAAAAGGGGATGGGGGAGGAGAATCATACGACCTGCTTGAGCCCTGGAGGAAAGCCTGGAAATACACATATTCTAAACATTGTTCTTGGTTGTCTGCCTGCCTGCCTGCCTTGAATGAGTGGTAATCCTATAACTGGGTGGCAGCAGGTTAGGGAAATGATACTATCAGCAGATACTGATATCCTGGAAGAAATCAAGTCAACATGGGCATTAAGTCTTACCAACCAAGTATTGAGCAAATATATTCTAGTGCACCACTAAGCAACATTCATACCCTGAATGGAGCTTGGAATATGGAATTAACTGGATCATGGATTGTTCGTTTAGGAAAGCAAAATGGAACACCCTTTGATCTTTCTTATAGATCGTACAGTGACCGTTCATAATAGTGAAATCTCATTTGTAGTACTCCAATTTAAGAGGTAACTGAATTAATCCTCTAGGAGCAGTAATTTTAATCTGTGCTCACAATAATTCAAAAGCATACTGGGATAAACACTCAGAACAGTTTCATAGAAATCTAACATTTTCATGGCATGTGCAATGGGGAAAATATGAAAGAGGATTAGTCTCACAGTGTTGACTTAAAAGACTACTTTTGAATGCTACTGAAAGACCTCAAGATACTGCTGTGAACCTTAAAAACTGCCACTTAAAAAAACATAATTTTGCTTGAAGAATTAAAAGTTGATTTTCTGTAACTGGTGCTGGTGAAACTTCTATATTATGCTGCAAGATGTTTATAATATTTTTCAAATTATTTGTTGAAGTTAAGGGTCATATTACATTTAATGCCCAGCAAATCTATGATTGGATTTATTCATTATTCAAAGAGGGCATAAGAATGAAGCAATTTATGGCAAAAAGTTGCGAATCAGGGCTGAGGGCTGATAAAATTCAAAAACTTTGCTGTACCTATACAATGTAAAGAACAGATATTACCATCTCTTTAAGCCAAATGATTAAATCATTTATAAGGTTTAATCTTGCTGAACATTTTTTCCTTTTCCAGTAATTTATCTCTCTCACACACAATTTACAGAACATTTCATTAAATCTACTTTCTCTTAACATCTTGTTTATACAATGTCCCGAAAGAGATAAAAGGAAGCATTATTAATACTGGAAATAGGTAGCAGTATTGCAAAGAAGTAGCATTTATTACTTTGAGCATTACAATAGCTACATGCAATCATTTTATAGTTCTGTGCAATTTCTTGGCTGAAAAATTTACAAGTAAATTGTGATGTTTCAGTCTCCTACAATCTTCTTTAAAACACAATCATTTACACTATATAAACTTGATACATAGTAATCAAATTCACAAATTTTTGTTTTAGAGATTTGAAACTTAACTTTTTTTTCAGAAAATGGTGCCTTTTTAAATTCTTACATGCATATTAACTATCTGGAGAATTTTGCTTCTAGAAATACTTATATATTTTATCTATCCCTTTATGATCATTATAAGCAAAACATGTTGGATACTTTAGGATCAAAAAATGAATCAGCAGTCAAAACAAATCTACAAAGAAACTGTTAAATCTTTTTTCTCTCTCTCCAAAATTGGCTGGAAAACACATGAATTATTACTTTAAAACTTATATGGAAACTAAACCCCATCTTTCAATGTGATGCATCATGGTGGCAGAGGAGTGATCCTGAGAGGGACAAGCAAAGAATGCTGGAAGTATATACCAAGAGTATATAATCCCAGTAGGGTCACCCAAGATGTGAAGGTCTACATGGTCAATAAGAGTTGACACCAATTGATGGCACATAATCAAAACTGAAAGTAGAGCAAAGCAAGAAAAGTACAAGTCTCTACAGCAGTTAACTTCTCTATTCCAGAGTTGAGCAGAGCTGAAAACTGATGGCTGTCCAGTTTCCCATTAACTTTATTCAACATGGCTAATGAGCAGCGTGAAGGATCAGTGCAGATGAAACTATATACAAAATTGATGCTATACTGGTGGAGAGCAAAAAATAAAGTTTGTAAGGGAAGTCAGAGTTCTGAAAATGTTGGGAAAACTGTTCTAGTCACAATTAGCACAGCTATCAACTTGCTGGAAGGCTACATATTTGGCTGCTTTGGAGTCTCAGACTTCTCTTTACTTCTGGCCAAGGAGATGAAAACCAATTTTACTCCCACATTTTTATCAATTATATTTTTAAATGGACATGGTTGGTGAAATCCAGAATGTATTAATATGGATGCACACAAACAGATACATTAAAACTCACTACCATGTTTCACAAGTAGTACCACATATATGACTGGATTGAGCTCCAGCATATCCTTGTCAGGAGATGTCTGTTGACCTTCCACAACTTAGCATCTTCCAGATGAGTTGTATTACACTTCCTACCATCTTTGGTAAGCTGGCTGAGGGAAACTGTATTTGTAGGGTTCTAACACAACTAGAAGTTATCAGGTTGTCAGAAACTGATCAGTGTACACATTTACATCATACATGGTACAAAAGAGAAAAATATGCAATGAGTAACTTTTTAAAAATTGTTTTCTTGACTGTTATAAGACATACTGTGACAACATTTAGCCAGTGCTAAGTTTGCTCATTTGAGAGATCAGCTTTGTGTGGAGTTTAAATTGTCTGTCATAGATTAACCAATTGACTTTTGAAATATATAACATTTAGTTGTAATTATTTTCATTAGTAAATATGCACAATTTTTAACATCATATAAAGATAGAATGCTTTGTAGCAAGTGAACACTAAGCACAGAAAGTAACTGTACAGTTTGGATCAGCATTTCAGTGGCACTACAATACTGTTTTCTGCCTTAGGCATTTTGGCCCTGTCTTCTGGTTTCTCTGGATTCTGACCTTAAGGTCCTGTTCATTTTATCCTTCAGGAGTTGGTAACCTTAGTTCAATCATAGTTTAATTCAGAATAATGGGATCCAAAAATATAATAAAGAAAATGACTGTAGTATTTGTCTCACAGACAAAAAGGAAGATAAAACTCAGATTATATAATCATCAACTGTATGCACTGTGTGCCATATTACAATGCAACATTACTTGCAAAGTATTTCCATAATGAACTCAGTTCAATGCTGATACTTCGTTGGATGATAAATTCTATACCCGAACAGTGGGAATAGTCAAATTGCAATGAAATTTGCATTTTTAGCTAGATATAAGACACAGTTTCAATTACCTAATATTTACAACAGGAATAGTTATAGTGCCCTTCAGATGTCTTGGAATACAATTTCCACCATCTCTTGACAGTAGTCATGCTATCTGGGACTGTTAAGAGCTATAGACAAAACATCTGGAGGTTACTAAGTCGCCTGCTCATAATTTAGATAATTATTGTATATGCTATACACAGTGTGTGATCATTTTGTTGACCAGGTTCTATGAAAGAAGTTATATGAATCTGTCCTTAATCACATATTTGAAACGTCAAAGTTCATTTTAAAACCTAACATTGTTAGTAAGGCATATCATGGCAGATCGTGTTGCCCAAGAAAATTAAAATAATTTCTTCTAAATCAGTCCTTTGCTATTGAGAAATCTTTCTATGCAGGAACTACCAATGAAGATGGACAATAGGTCTTCACAGTTTCATCCCAAGCACAGTCTGCCACCTATGGAGAGCAAACAGAGTTTAGGACAAGAAATAATATGCATTCAAAAAGATATTCATGTACTGTATCTTAATAGCACACAAGTTTTATATGCTTGCAGTGGTAATTTTGCTCCTGCAATACTACAAAGTATAAAGCCAACATACATGAAAAGAGGCCAAAACAAATTTTAAAACATCAATTTCTAGATAAACATAAATAAACAAATAATAAAATAAATAATAAAATTGCATTCTAAATATTTTCATTTATGTCTAATGACCTCTAGAAAAGAAACTAACATTACACTGTCAAGTGGTCCAAAACAGTTATAAACTTGTAATTTAAGTTTACTTTGGTAAGACATACTGAATACCAAAGAAGAATTCAGAGGATTTCCAGGAGCAGATTTCACCAGTTTCATAGCACATAGTTATGAAGATTTAATTAATCACTTTATGATATCAGCAGACTTCTAACAGTTTGTAAATGTATTTAATAATATTTTAAAATAAATGCAAGCTCACAGTTTATACCAATTTATTCTAAAGTAAGTTAGAATGAGTTTCAGGAAAAAAATGTACCGGAAAAAGAAGAGCATAAACTACATCAAATTTGGTAATGCATTTAAATTTCTGTAGCAAAGCATCAGAAAATAATAATAACAGTATACTCACATACACATATAGTCATATAACAAGGAAAGGATGAACAGATAAATTAGATTTTTTTTAAAAACTCTGTAGTTGGATCAAGTTTATTATAACTTAAATTGGTCTACATGTGTTTCAAAAGGTGTTTCAACATTAACAAAACCTACAATAATTGTAGCCATACATTATATTACTGTAAATCCAAACTAACCTCCCACTCCATTTAGTGGATTTTCAAAAGTACAAAACAAGACTTTATTACTGTTCAATGAGTTATAATTTGCTGAGAAAAAAGGTTTGATATTAAAACACAATAATTGTGTAATACAGCCTATCCAGCTTTCCATTCATGATGTTTCCCCTGATCTACTGATAGCTGTATAATAAACACATACAGTAGACCACATATTTAGAGTTCAGAAAACAAATATTTTCTAGTACACTCAACTGCCAAGAGGAAACAATACATAAAATACCACCTGCAAAATCCCTGGGGAATTTCCACCTGAGATTGTCTTAATTAGCGTCTCATGGCAATTTCTGAATATTAAGTATAGCAATAATTATTTCAACCAATCTTAGGAAAAGCAAACAGGATTTACACAATGTAGGCTGCTGAGAACCTTTTACTTAATTCAGTCCAGCTCTGTTACTGATAGTACAAGGAAAAATGTAAATATAACTAGGGAAAAATAGCAAATAAAACAGAGAAATTGCTTTGATAAACAGCTGATAAATTATGTTGATAAATATTCTGTGAGCTCTTGAAATCTAATCATCAACCATTCCCTAGGAGATTGATTTAAGAGATCCCTAAAATTTCTATGTTACCCATATAGCACAGGAACTTGGATCTCACTCATCATCTTTAAACATGAATACACCATTTAATTTAAATTATCTATCAGGTGTCCTAATTCAAACCTAATGTTTGTCAGTGTGTTAGCAGAACTACCTGGATCTAACTTCTTTGATAAACACATATCCCCTTTTGCATGAGAGAGAAAGACAGGCCTATAGCTTCTACTTCAGATAGTCAATTGGAGAATGAAAGCAGAATCAGAACATCAGACTTTGGAAAAGTGTCCCTTCTTCTGAAAAATACTTGAGGACAACCAGAGCTATACAGCCATACAGGTGAAACTCGAAAAATTAGAATATCGTGCAAATGTTCATTTATGTCAGTATGGC